CCAAAAATTAGAATAGCAGTCTACATTTATAAGGCAGACTTTCTCCTGCCTTTAGATTTTTTTTAACCTTTCTCCAATATTGACACTGCATTTTAGGGAAATGCAAGTCTTCTTTTGTTGCTTGTCCTTCAGAGAGTGGAAATAACACAATTCCATCCCTAATATTACACTCATCCCTCTTTGAATATGAGGATGTAGTTTACCACTTCATGTTTCATCTACCCATCATCCATCTTCCCAATGATCTGTAAAGCTTTAGTCTGCATATCCCCCCACTTCCCTTCCCTACAATAAAATTTAGGTTGTTATCAGCTCTGTTTTCCTACCAAACTCTTATCACTGGATTTATAGAGGAAGGTACTGCTTAAAGAATTTGCCACTCAGAAATATTTACCCAGGTAGCTCAATGTACACATCATAATCCACAACCTCTAAAGCCTCTTTAAGGAACTCAGCAGTGCTTTCCGGGTTTATGATCTAATTTTACTTGCAGTGTCTTCCCAAACATCACAACCTACCGTTCTTTTATACTCTTTGGAGTATCTTTCCCATCCAGATAAGGCTCTCTAGCATATGTGAGAGGCTGCTGGTGTTATAACAATGCAACTCCTAGTGTTCTCTCTGAGGCACCCCTCGGAGACACAAATTGTTCTCCTAGACTCCACAACCAGAGTGCAGTGATCTTGAATATTCTGTCTTTAATCTTACTCTATTGTTTGCCAGTGATTTTCTGACCGTTCCCATTCAGTTTCCCTTGTGTCAGTTGTTGTGTTCACTGTAATTTGCAAAATTTTACCAGGTCGTTTAACATTTCAAGGAGCCTCTGGCTGCCTGTCACATTCCCTCGTCTCAGCATCTCTTAGGTTCTTTCAGCTTCTATTTGGTCCGATCAGAAGCCCTCCACTGTCAGCAGATATGCAGTATAAAACATCTAGCCACGGGAGATGCTATCAGGATTCCATTTTCTATTCTGTTTCCTGCACTGCTAAAAAAAATAAAACAAAAACAAACAACTCTTAGTCATGGTCCCTGATTGCATCTATGACATTTCCTTGTTCAATAGTGCAAGATGTCTGTCACCTGCATTTTTTTTTTTTTTAATGCCGGCAATGTGCTCCTGCTCTTAATTTACATTTGAACACTTCAGAAGCTGGGCTAATGCCTGCTGGCAAGTGTAGCTATTGTTATTGGGCAAAGGCTGCAGCAATATTGGTAAAGTAGCTTCACTCCTTAATGCTTGCATGCAGACTTCCTTTCCAATGACCTCCTAACATGAGGATGTTAAGGGTGGTCAGATTTGGCAGGTGGAACAGGATTGAATGGGTCCTTCCTCCTTACAAGTTTATGCTGTATTGAATGGGTCCTTTCTCCTTACAAGTATATAAGGTAGATGTTTGTAATTGAATACAAGAGTAACGAAAGACCTTCTTTTATGCTTTCCGTGAAGGTAAGTAGCAGGTACGGTATATATCTACTTGCTCTCATCCCGGCGTGCCATTAGGCCGATGGCTGCCGTTTTGGAGCTGATGAGAAAATTATCCTGTTAATAAAAAACTATGCTTCAGAATTCTCCATCTTTTGGAGCACTGACTACCAAGCATTTTGGATCAAGTGGAGAAGCCTGTTGTGAGAGTGGACACGATGGGCTTTTGACATAGCACCCCTGGTGCCTGTACAAAGCCTTCGTTATTATGGTCAGCACTGAGAACTAGGTTACTATTTACCATGCCAAGAAAGTTGGACCTGGATTAAGGACAAACATATTGGGTAACTTGGTTACCAATACTCATCTCCCACACAGTGACTCTAGGCGGCATATAATAAAACTAGGAGTTAAAACATTTTACAAACCCATTAAACTAATAACAGTACGTAAAACAAGACCATGAGAGGGAAGATGTTATATCGAATATAACCAGCATGCAGGCTTTCTATTAGATGTAACATCGGTTTATTTGGACAATGAAGCCTTTCTCTGTCTTCTGGATTTCAATTCCCTTTATTCCCAGATGTTCAGGATTGGGGACAGCAAATATAATCCCCAAATCTGGCATGACTAGAATGCTAGTGAGGAACCTACATGTACAAAATATTCTGAATTAAGCAAGTTTTGAGCCTGAAATAGTTGTTTCAAACTAAAAACAGCCATCTGAAGGCTCTCCAGGAATGCCAAAATCTATTCTGGACTCAAAGTGTTTTGTCCACCCTCAGTGAGGAATCATGTGAGCTCAGCAGGGAATAACACTCTTCAAGAGGTCATCACTCAGCTTAGCAGTACTGGACAATTTCAGTCCAGTCTCCAACCTTTCCTTTTTGGCTTATAGCTTATAAAGGCTTATACTCCAAAGGGCCCTGGAGGAGGCAGATTCAATTGCAGCTCTGCTCCATGAAATCCAATAGCCTCCTAACCTTTTATCCTTCCTAAGAACATTAAAATCTAGCTCTCCTCCTAAATAAAGCGGGAAGTCAGGATGGGTTGAGAATGTGGGTTTCATCAGGCTAATGCAGACATGTCAAACACAAGGCCCAGGGGCCAGATGCGGCCCGCGAAGTGGTTTCATGTGGCCCACGAAGCCATCCTGGAAACAGTGAGGGAACGGCCCCCGCTGCCTTGACCCTGGCCCAGGCCAGCCGGGAGCCAATGTACAATTTTGTGGTGGCCATCTTGGCACTTGCCCCGGTGGACCATGCCTTGGCACTTGCCCCGGTCCCACCCCCTTCTGCCAGAGACCCTCAGATCTGCCCCACTCCTGCCCAGGCCCCCACAAGTACCCTTGACGTAAACGATGTAGAGCTGGCCACACCCACTCAGTAGGCCACACCCACTCCATCCACACCCACCCAGTAGGCTGCACCCACTCTGACCACACACCCCCGGGCCCCCGAGGGCAACCGCAATGCTGATGCGGCCCTCAATGAAATTGAGTTTGACACCCCTGGGCTAATGCAATTGTGGCATCAGGTTTTTCTGGTTTTTAGCTTTATCGTTTTATTGCTCTTTGTTTTATGATTGTTTATATTGTTCTATTGATAGTGAGCTGCCCAGAGTTGATTCTAAAATGGGCAGCTACAGAAATGTTTAAATAAGTAAATAAACTGGACCCTTTACAGTTGGGTTTAAGGACAGGATGTAGTAGCAGGGCAGTATTGACTATACATATGGATGGCCTCTGCTCCTAGGATGGAGATAGTGTATCCATCTTGGCCCTCCTTGATCCCTCACTTGCTTTAGGTATCCTTCTGTGTTAGCTGAGGGCGCCATGACTAGGGGAAGGGGGGAATAATTCTTCAGTGGTTCTCTGACCTCCAAATTTCAGTCAGTGTTAGTAGTTTGGGAAAGGTCCAGCCCTAGGCTTCTGCTTTGTGGGACGGCACAGAGATCAATTCTCTTTCCACTCCTCTGTAAGATTTACATGAAACCAGTGGGCAAGATAATCTATTGCCATGGGGTCAAAATAATCAATATAGCTCTTATACCTTACATATCTCTGCTCTGGGTTATCCAAATGATCCCATCAAGGTACATTCCCAGTGCCTGGATGGGGTATGGATCTGGATGGGGAAGAACTAGCTGAAAGAGAATGTGTAGCTCAGGGTTTTAGGGCCCCTCATATCTAGTGATTTTCCATCTTTGCCTCAGGCAGAGTTGGTGCACACTCTGGGATTCCTCTTAGATTTGCATCTTGAGGAGCAGGTGGCAGTTGTGGCTGGGAGAGCCTTTGTATAAATATTTCATGTGCACATAGTTATGCCTGTTCTTAGATCATGAAGCGCTACTCACAGTCACTCAAACCTTAGTCACCGTCCGATTGGATCACTGCAACATACTACAACACGCTGTATATGGGGCTACTGTTGAAAATCTTTCAGCGCTTCAGTTGGTCCAGAATGCAACCACAAATTCAGTTTTGTGGTACACCCACATACACATACCTCTTCCCCTAGTCATGTGGTACACCCACATACACCCTTGGTACACCCACATAACACCTTTGCTATGTGAACTATGCTAGTTCTCAGTAGACTTCCTGGTGCAATTCAAGGTGTTGGTCGTCACCTATGTAGCATGGGGCCTTACTGTTTGTGGGACTACCTATCTGCAATGCAAAGGCATGCTCTAGTGTATGTCCCTTCAGTAAAGTAGTAAAATTATCACCTGGTGCGCCCTTGGAAGCATATCTTGTCTGTCATGGTGTCTATCTTATAGAACAGCATCCTCTCAAAGATACTATAGACAGCTCCAAACCTGCTGGCTTTCCAGAGGTCCATGAAGATCTGACTTTTCTCCAAAGCATTGAGGCCAGGATGTTAATAGAGTTTGGGAATAGGGGTAGGTCAGGGGTAGGCAACCTTGGCTTTTTTTATGACTTGTGGACTTCAACTCCCAGAATAGTCCACGAGTCATAAAAGAGCCAAGGTTGCCTGCCCCTGGTGTAGGTGATATGCTTGAATTAGATGTTTATAAGAGCCTCAACTCAGTTTTTCTTCTTAATTAGTTTGAACAATTATGGTTTTTATCTTTTTCATTGTCCATTGTTAGATGGCTGGCCCTATAAATTGGTTAAATAAATACATACTCCAAGGGACAGAAAAGGACATCATATAACAATAAACAAATATGTTTTATAATAAACAACAAACAAATGTAAATGTACTCCCACAACATAATAGAATGATGAACCAGGAACCTTCATTCAACTGGGCCTGGTAGTCTTGAAGGCTTTTCTCAAGGTGGGCAGAATTGAGCCTGTTGCACACTGAGAGGAGATTATAAATTGTATATAAAATTTGTACTGATTACTCCTAAAAATGGGTGGTTAATAAAGCATATTATACTATTTAATTGTTTAAATAATTATTTACAAGCTCCAGTTATCCAAATTAGTACCACTGCTTGAGTGTTTTTCTTAGGATCTTGGCATCTTCTCTCACAAGCTCGATCAGAGGTGAATTGGGGTATTTGGTAATGAAATGATTTGAAAATACGTTCTTCCTTCTAGGTGTTAATGTCTCGGCCAATCAGGATGAAGAGACACATCATGAAACCTTCCAGATGCAAATTGACAAAGAAACCAAGAAGTGCATTTTCCATTCCAATACAGGCAATTACTGGACCTTGGTTGCGCATGGAGGGATTCAAGCCACGGCTACTGAAATGTGAGTTGTGCTGTGTCTTCATTTTGCTGGTAGGTCCCTAAAGCAGGGATCAATAACCTATGCTTGGTGGACTGAATATGGTTCAAAAGAAATATATTTCCATGTCTGTCTGTGAGGCAGACATCACTATAGATTACTCATCACCTCCTTAGGCAGCCATTTTGGTGATGGCAACAGCAAGCAAAGCACCTAGTCTCCAGCGGTAACATGGTCTCTAGCCCCTAAGCATAAGAAGATTGCATAGTCTTGCCCTAAAGTAATCAGGATTTCAGAAGTGAGTCCATTGTGTATACCAGACATCATAACGAAGAACTAATTTGGGGGAGAAATGGGCACCAGGTTTAGCAAAGAGCTACTGTAGGTGTTCATCAAAACAACAAAAACAACACTGCACCATCACAAAGCAGATTCTGTCTCTTTTTTGCAGACCTATAGAGTAACTGTGCCTGTGCAAAAGGAGGGAAGCTTGTGCCATGATGGCAAGATGCTGCTTTTGGCATCTGCTCCACCATTTATCTTCCTCTGCAGAGTTTGCATTTAAATAATTGCTGTTTCTCAAGAACATGTCCCTTCCTCCTTCAGCAGTAACTGTTCTAATACAGTCTCTGTGCTTCTCTCCCTCCCCTGCCCAAACCAGTAACTTTGGCAAACGTGTAACAGTGGAATAGGCTGAAAGACATCCTATGGAAATGACTCCATCTCTTTGGAAAAAAAAACCACACACACACACACCTCATGTGAGAATCCAGGGTTGGACATGTGGATGGTGTGGGTGTTTTTAAAAAGTTATTCCTGTACGAAACGTTCATCTGCTTCTACACAAATAACAGCCAGTCAGTTGGTGGAAGGTTAAAATAGTTCAACTGCTTGATCAGAACTAATTTCATAATTCTCTTCTGCAGAATCTAATTTCCTATATTCTGCATTGGTCTACATTGTTTTTACTGTTTGTTTGTATGCTTGATTAATTGATGGTTGTGAGCCACAGAGCCATTGAAGGTTGGGCATCTTATAAATTTAATAAATTATTAAATTTATTATAGTTTGTTGCACAGTCAGCCAGATATTCAGACTGGATTTGGCATTTTTATCCATCTATTAAGTCCTTCCCAAGGACCTGGGATAGGCAGGTGTTGGTGTTTTGATGGTGTTAAAGATATAGCAGAATTTAAGTTATTCCCAAAAAAGCTGCCTTTTGTGTAATTTTTGAGTAATGGTGATTTTGTCAATGGTGGTATTCAAGTGGTGGTCCAATGGTTTTGGACCGATCACTATTGGTATTATCATTGCTTTCTTTTGCCACAGTTGTTCTACTTCTATTTGTGGGTCTTGGTATTTTGTGACTTTTTCCAGTTCTTTCTCTTCTCTTCTGCTGTCTCCAGGTACTGCCACATCCACTATCCAGACTTTCTTGTCTTTCTTGTCGACAATTGTTAAGTCTGGGGTGTTTTTGATTGTTATTATTATTTTACTGAAATGTTTTCTCAGTAGCGTGAGAACTTTTAATAGTAGGATTGGAGAATCTGGCGATGGTATCTTTGGACCACATAACCAAATCTGTGGAAGATCTGGGATGCTGAGAAATTAAAAGCACCCTCAAGAGAGGGAGAATGGGATTAGGGTTGCAGTGAAGGGGATCAGACTTTCCCCTTATAATTTCCTGGTTAAAAAAAAAAATCCCTTTCAGAAGCGGCTATTTGTTCAGTAGAAATCCATGTGGGTATTTGAATATATTTCTCTTACTTTCTCCATTCCCTGGGGCAAATAATATTTTCAGGAAGATAATTTAGTTTGGGAAAACAACATGAGGGAAAAGAATAACATCTTTTCTCAGCGTCCTCGTTTCGATACAATAAAGAACAAGCACCACCTTCTCGGTTGTTTTTAGCTGTTTTTAATTTTAGAATCTGGGCGATCCAGCAACAGCTTCACTGCCTTCTCCTCCTCCAACTGCGCCCTTACTTCCCCTTTAACATGTGACACTTCTTCTAAGCAAGAACATTTAAGAACTTTCTAATCCAGGCAAGCATGAGCTCCAGGCCGCAGGCTAAAACTGGACCAAAGTAGATTACCGTAGATTAAAATTAGAATATTTAACAGTGAGTGGGATTAACTCTTGGAAACATATATGTAGACGCTAAAGATTTTTTCCCCCTATTCTTCTTCAATGACTTGAACCTCTATTCAAAGACTAGGGCTGGATAAGACTTGGCAATGAAATGAAGCACTGAAATTCCCTGAAGTTCCTTATAGAGATTTGTCACATCTAGGAAAATCCTATTTCTGCCCCCTGAAAATAGCCTGGATGCTTTTATGCTACAATTCAATGGAATCATGCCAAAGAAAAAGGAAAATATTCAGCAATATGTGTCATCTCAAGCCCCTGCTTTGGGTGGAATGTGCATTACAAATGTGTTTCCTGACCTTCGTTTTTCATTTAGTAAGGCAAATTCCCCAACCCACATACCTTCTTTCAATCTGTGGACTGTGTAGTGTAGTGGAGAATGTAGAATGGAATGGAATGGAATGGAATGGAATAGAATAGAATAGAAGAAAGGGACCTTGGAGGTCATCTAAACCAACCCCCTGCTCAAGCAGGAGACCTTATACCATACCAGACAAGTGGCTGTTCCAGTCTCTTCTTGAAAGCTTCCAGTGATGGAAATTTCTTCTTAGTTCTAGGTTGCTTCTCTCCTTGATAAGTTTCCATCCATTGTTTCTTTTCTTGCCTTCTGGTGCTCTGGAAAAAATAGTTATTTAACAGAATATGTGCAGTAATGCAAAGGGTTAGTGAGACAAGTTTGCTCTCCACAGGAACAACTTGCAAAGCCAATGAGTTAAGGTAGGGCAATAATGCATCCAAACCTTCAGGAAACAGTTGCAATAGAGCACGATAAACCTTTGTAAATACTAGCAGATGGGCAATACAATCCAACATACAATTTTTACAAAGGTATCAAGATTCCATAAATCTCCCTCCCATGTTTTGTGGAGTTTTGTGGGTGTATGTTGGATTTATATGTGTAATAAATGTCTAATAGGCCAGAAAGAACAAAACCTTTGGAAGGAATGAATAGTTCCTACTTTCTGATTCTCCCATCAATCCTTTCTGCTCTTCCTTTCTGCTTTGGTTTCCTCAGATCCACCAGCACTATGTTCGACCTTGAATGGCGGGGTCGCCGTGTTGCCCTTAAAGCTAACAATGGCAAATACATCTGTACCAAGAAGAATGGGCAACTGGCAGCTGTCAGTGACAGAGTGGGTGAGTCTTATCTCTGGTTCCTGAAGAGGAAACTCCCTGTGGGCTTTATTTCAAAAGCTCAGTCCTTTTAAATAAAATAAAAATAAAAATAAAAATAGGAAGCCACTATGAGAAATCTGTTGTCTTTTGGATATTGAAGGACCACAGCATGTCTGACAATTGCCATGCTGACTGGACTTTTAGTAGAAGGTGGGTTAGTCAAATTCATTCTACCGCTTTCGTATGGCTTTGAAAGAGAAATAATCCAACCAAATCTAGACATCAAATATTTAACACAGTTGCATTGCTTTGTGGAATGTAGAAGATGGTGAAACAGAATAAAGCCAGATGGGCCTAGCAATATCTGAAAGTATGGCTGAAGTTTCCATATAGCTCTAATTAGTCGCCAAAAGAAAGAGTATAAATCTGGAACCCTCCAAATATGTTGGACTACTCTCTCATTCTCTGTCTCTCTGTCTTCCCCCCCACTCCCCTGCAAGCAATAAGCTTTGGGGCTTATAGAAATCAGGAGAGACTGGAGACAGCTGGAATAAATCTTGAAAAGTCTTGGTGTGTAATGGCAGAGAGCTAGATAGAGAATTGGTGTAAACTGAAGTTTCCAAGGAAGTTGGAAGAAACCCACTCTGTTTCTGCTGGCTGGGTTCAGCAGTATGCTGAGCATTATGTTATATCAATATTTTGAGTTAAACAAGTTATGTGAATCTGGGTAATAGTGGCATCATGAACCAAGCATGGTTAAGCACCATGGGCTTAGCAATTATGGAAACCTTATCATTGAGTTGGTGGTCCCTGACCAGCCAGTTCTGAAGCCATAGTTAGCAAAGCAGATGTTTAAGGGAAAAGGAAAACCAAAAGAGACTTATTTGCTCAATGCGGGCTGAAAAGAGGACATTGTTGTATTCTTGAACTGACTGTAGAACACTCTTGAGCTCTTACATTGGTAAATAATTATACATCCTGTATGTGAAAACAATTTTAGCTAACAAGAGAATACTAAAGCAACCCTTTTGTAGTCTTAGAATTAAGGGACTATTATATTTGGATTACCTAAGCATGGAAAGAAGTGGGATTCTTCAACATTTCTAGAATTTTGGCAGATGCAGGGAACTTGTAGAAGTAGGACTATAAAATGAGCCCCAACTTCATAGCCCTACTTAAAATCTTCCCTTCTGTTTGCCAAATATCTACATGAACAAGTTCTTAGAAATAGGCATTTCTAAGGGAGTAACCTTGAATTCATTTTTAGATTCCTAATTCTTCAGGGTTATGGTAGTCTCATTAACCTCAGAATGCACTGAGTTACAGTTGTTGCCACAGGGAAAGATGAAGAATTTGTTATCAAGCTGATCAACCGACCCATCCTAGTTCTTCGTGGGGCCCATGGATTTGTTTGTTACCATCGCAACTCCAACTTGTTGGATGCCAACCGTTCCATCTATGATGTCTTCCACCTCAATTTCAGTGATGGTGCTTACCAGATCAAAGGTAATTAGTTGTCTGCAAACTGGGTGGTTGGAAGAGAGAAGGAGCTAGGGAACATTCTTCATTCACACAGTGAATTAATTTGGATCATATGTCAGAGGAAATGCTATACACGAAACACAGTGGGCCACTTCCTGCATGTGAGTGTAAACTGGTATATACTCAGAGGTTGCTTAGTGTTAATGCTTTGAAGTTCCCATATGCCAGTGGTGGCGAACCTATGGCATGCGTGCCAGAGGCGACACTCGGAGCCCTCTCTGTGGGCACGCGCACCATCGCCCCAGCCCCGCCTCCCCCCGTGGCCCCCTCCTCTCCAGCAGCCCCCCTGGAGGAGAGTCGCCCTCAGGTGCGGCCTGCATGGAGTAGTGCAGCCAAGGACATAGCCGGGCAGCAAGGACAAGACTGCCCTTGTGCCCCATAGCGTGCAGATGACGCTGCAGGGTGTGGGCGGAGGGTGTGGCTGCCGTGGCACTGCAGTGCTGCCTGGGCGATCTGCTACAGCGGGCCATTGAGGCGGTGCGTGGCACTGTGGGCAGGCGGAGCAGGCAGGGCGGGAGGCGGAGCGGGGGCGGGGCAGGTTTTGGGCACTCAGTCTCTAAAAGGTTCGCCATCACTGCCATATGCAATCGTATGCAAACAGATCCATTTTGTTGACTACAATTCGTCCCCATTCTATATAATAATAGTTAATTAAATATTTTAAGTGTATGTTCTGTAAACAAAACACAGTAGTCCTTGACTTAAAACAATTCGTTTAGTGATTGTTTGAAGTTACAACAGCACTGAAAAAAAGTGATTTGTGACCATTTTTCACACTTATGACCACTGCAGCATCCCCATTGGCATATGATCAAAATTCAGACATTTGGCAACTTGCTCTGTTTATGACAGTTGCAGTGTCCTAGGGTCATAAGATTCCCTTTTGCAACCTTCTGACAAGCAAAGTCAATGGGGAAGCCAGATTCACTTAACAACCACGTTAGTAATTTAATAGCTGCAGTGGTTCACTTAACTATGGCAAGAACAGCTGTAAAATGGGACAAATTGACTTAACAAATGTCTCACTTTGCAACAGAAATTTTGGGGCCTATTGTAAGTCGAGGACCACCTGTAGTATCATCCAGAAGAAAGAAGTATTGTTGCCTTTGATTCCAAGGTTTATACAAGTGGAGAAATAGACTTTAAGAAAAGGGTCTAATGAAAACTGAATACGATCAACAGTCAAAGGCTACAGACTGTTGAAGAAAGAAAATTAAAACTGGAAGGGAAACAGCTATAACGGACAGTTTAAGAGCATCACAGCATTTTTAAAAAATTAATATAGGACAATCTTGTATAGAATCTTTAGAATCCATCAGCTAATTTCACACAATAGATTAAATTATTGAAAGTTATCCAAGTCACAAGGGAACCTCACATCGGACTTGCCATATGGAGCTATCTCTGGGTTATCATAGTTAGCTGCTGTGCTGCTGTTGGTAGACACGAAAGAGATTTAGAACATTGCCTCCTTGCTCCAACTGTTCCATCATCTCTACCCTCTACTCCATATGAGGAAAAGAAGATACTGATTCACAAAAGAACCCAAAACTGCACATGTTCATTTTTCTTTCTGGATGCTTATTGGGAAATAATTATGGTGATAGGAATCAAATCTCCCTGTGTTGAGGAAGATGATGACCAAGTGAGAATGTCTTGCATGTTCTGTCTTCCCGGTACCACCTGGGATGGGCAACTCCTTGTTCTCTTATCTTGTTCCTCTACCATAACCAGCTATGGGCAGTGTCCAACTAGAAGACATTTAAAGAGAAGACTAGCCCTGGCAAAGGATGCATATGCCAGTGTTTTAATTAGGGAGCCTGGGGCTTCATGTTACTTTTTAATGTGGTTTTTGTTTTCTCTTCTCCTAACATGTCCTTGCATATGGTGGAACTATCTGCACTCTAGATTTTGTACAGTGATCTTGACTGTGTTGATGGTTGAATGAGCAAACTGGACAAATGTTGTCTCTTTTAGAGTCCCCCCCACTCTAAAGAACCCTCATAATCAACTCATCATCCTGGCACAAGTGCTCATTTCCATATTTCAATCTCCCTTTACAAAGTTTGAACATGCTGGCCCATTATGGCTTCTGACTTGTGTGTGTTTATCAGGGAAACATGCTTATCAGGGAAACATCCAAGCAAGTGTTTAGATACAGGAGTAGTCAACCTTGGCTCTTTTATGACTCGTGGACTTCAACTCCCAGAATTCCTGAGCCAGCTAAGCTGGCTCAGGAATTCTGGGAATTGAAGTCCACAAGTCATAAAAGAGCCAAGGTTGACTACCCCTGGTTTAGAATGAAGAAGCACAAGTGGCTCCACTGTATGCGCCCTCCAATGATTTGTGCCTCTTTGGTGCTCCTAGGCCTCAGTGACAAGTTCTGGTACGTGGCTAGCAATGGCACCGTGTGCAGTGATGGCGAGACATCTGAGGACTTCTTCTTTGAGTTTCCCGAGTGCAGCCGAGTGGCCATTAAAGGGAAGAATGGCAAATACCTACGAGGAGACCCAGCTGGAACCCTGCGGGCTGATGCCGATACCCCAAACTGTGCAACGTTTTGGGAGTACTGAGCCCCTCCCACAAGGCTTGAGATGCTCCAGGGCCCAGCCTGGTGCCCAAGCCTGGACACTGAATGGTGTATGAGGGGAAGGTGAGTTCTGGCACCTGGACTCAAGGCGCCTTACACTTCCATATCCTGCAAGGAAAAAGGTGGATCAGGATAGACTAGAGGAACCTCTTCACCTAGGGCAGGGGTGTCAAACTCGCAACGTCATGTGACGTGTGACAACATATCGTGACTTTTTTTCCATTGCCAGCAATGGGGTGGGCACAGTTTTGGCATGACGCACCCGGCCTGCGGGCCGGCAGTTTGACACTCCTGAGCTAGGGCTTTTGTTTTGTTTTGTTTTGGTCTTCCTTGCCTAAGTTTAGAAGTGACACACTAGTAAGGCTCCTAGGAGGAGGTTATTGTGCTATGTCAGACTAAGTTACAGACGTTGTATTTCCCTTCCAGCATCCCTAGGGCATCCTTGTTTTTTTTCCTCCAGAGATACCAGGCCTTACAAGGCATCTGATATAGGTATGTCAACATTCCAGAAAATGTGGGTATGCAAAACAGAGGAGACAGGATAGTTTCAGGATTCTTTGCAAATATGGAAAGTCAGTTCCTTCTAGCTGGATTCAATAACTGAGGACACAGGATAGGTGTGCTCCCAATTCCCAACATAATGAAGCCTATGTAGTTCCAATATCTCAGGGGCTGCCACAAAGAAGAGGGTGTCAAGCTATTTTCCAAGGCGCCTGAAGGCAGGACAAGAAGCAACAGGTGGAAACTAAGCAAGGAGAGAAGCAACCTAGAACTAAGGAGAAACTTCCTAACAGTTAGAACAATTAACCAGTGGAACAACCTGCCTCCAGAAGCGGTGAATGCTTCAACACTGGAGGTTTTTAAGAAGAGACTGGACAGCCATTTGTCCGAAATGGTATAGGGTTTCCTGCCTGAGCAGGGGGTTAGACTAGATGACTTCCAAGGTCCCTTCCAACTTTACTATTATTACTATTATTACTATTATTATTATTATTTTTAGTTATTTGGCCCTTAAAATCTGCCCCTTTAAAGCTAAGTAGCAATAGGCCCAGGACATTCCTATACTCTGCTCTTGCCAGTTTCCAGCCAAGGCTTGCAGTTTGTTTAATGTACCCTGTAGTTCCCAGATTACTTTTGTCTCTAGGAACAGCTTTTTTGAATCAAGCCCTTCCCACATTTAATATCCTGGCTCAGATGTTGTAGCCCAAAAGCAGAAGGAATCTGGTAGTGTGTGGCTTTTTTATTCTCAGCCAAAACATCATAGGGTGGTATTGTGAGGAAAAAGGGAGAGCACACACTATGTCTACCCTCTTGAGCTGCTGTTACAAAAAGTGGAATACAAATCTGATGAAATCAAGGCAATAAATGCATACAATGTACTCTAGATGCTGGAGATATAGTTTAGAACAGGGGTAGTCAACCTTGGCTCTTTTATGACTCGTGGACTTCAACTCCCAGAATTCCTGAGCCAGGCTCAGGAATTCTGGGAGTTGAAGTCCACGAGTCATAAAAGAGCCAAGGTTGACTACCCCTGGTTTAGAAGCTAATGTACTCAGGAATGCCTGGCAGGAGGAGAATGAGGGGGTCCAGCTGTTGTGAGATTTTTAATAAAATAAAATACTGGGCTAAGACAAGAAGGGGAGTAAATTGAATTTTGGGTGGACTTGCAAAATATCAACTAAGATTTAAAGGGAGGAAAATTAGTGATGGATGATCTTTGTATATGAAGAATGAGGAAGGGCTGGGAAATTCTTGCCTGAGATAGGATTAATTTTACAGTCAAGAGTTTCCCTTCAGGAAATTTTCACAAGGCCCAAGACAGTCCAGTTATTGAAGCAGCCTCTCTTCTACTCCACTCTCCTTCCATATCTGACATCCCTTCCGCAAATAACCCCAAAAGGAAGGATGTTGGCTCAATGGAGTTTCCTGCTCCAACAGCTGTCATGCAGGACCATTGTCTATGAGATCTTTACAGACATGGCTTCACTAGTTTCTCCTACCTAATGGAATGGGTCCGCTTCCATAACACTGGGAAAAGCAAAGGCCTTTTTTTAGAAGGAGAACAGAAGCTAAGTAAGTTTTAGCTGCAAGTTTTGTGCTGTTTCAGAATTCACAGCATGCTGCCATTTTTTCCACCCCCTTTCTCTGTTTATACTCTTAAAATAGTGTACAGCAATTGTAAAGCAACATTACTGCTATATAGTGCAGGCAAAACAGGAAATCTTCCTGTGGAAGCAGTCTTTCTATTCCCCCCACCTCACTTCCTCTCCCCCCCCATCCACTGGAAATGGAGAGACTCTCATTATCCAAAGATAACAAACAGGCAGCAGTATGGATACTAGATCAATGAGTATTTCAGGTTTGTAGCCCAAAAGGTTTACTTGCATCTGAGAACGAAACTAGTATTTACTTCTTCAATGTAGAGTCATTAAAAACACATCTGCTCAAAACCAGAAAAATTATACTGTAATAAAGATGAACAAAACTACAGAGGTTTGTAAAAAAAAAAAAAAAGCCCAGACTCATAAAACAGAATAGTTAATTCAGTCTCATGTAGACTTGTACTCTATATCAGTGGTGGCGAACCTATGGCACAGGTGCCAGAGGCGGCACTCAGAGCCCTCTCTGTGGGCACGTGCGCTATCGCCCCAGTCCTAGGCCTTCAGCTGGGTTTTATAAAACCTTTTCGCTTTAGGCCTCCGCCGCCGTGTACAAAAAAAAAAAAAAAGGTTCAATCAATCAGTCAATTTCAACTTCTTGCGGGGAAAAAAAGATCTTGCAAAGTTGGAATTGATTGATTGAACTTTTTAGTCCCACCCAGTCTGCTGTTACCACCACAGCCACGCCCACCCAATGGGCCACACCCACCCAGCACCCGATGCATAAGTGGGTTTTGGGTTGCAGTTTGGGCACTCAGTCTCTAAAAGGTTCGCCATCACTGCTCTATATTGTGGATGAAAGGTGGTAGGGTGGATGTGGTAGAAGAGGCAGCCTATAGATATTTTTAAAAAAAATAAATATAGGTTGTGCTCACTTAGCAACCCTAATTGGGGCAAGCAACTCTGCCGTTAAGCAAAGCAGCTGCTCAGTGGGAAGCCGGATGACCACGGTTGTGTTTTCTGGCTGGAAACAGACAGGACTACACAGTAAAACACAGTTTTACACCTTCAACTGTCGCTTGCCTCCTAACCACTCCCCTGCCCTTTGGAATGCTCCACTGCCTGCTTACTGTTTTGTACACATAGAAAGCAATGCCATTGTGGCACAGCTGGGGCGGGGAGCTATGGAAACAGCTTACAGTACTTTCTTGAAATCTCTCTAATCTCTCTGCTTTGTGAGGAGAATGGAGAGAAAAAGAACCAAGTGATTTTTTTGTAGGCACTCTCTCCTACAAGTCAGCTCAAGAGAGCTTACTCTCTTGAAATCTCTCCAATCTCTTCTCTAGAAGAGATACCCTACCTTGCTTTATTTCTCTTCCCTCTTCCCAAGAGAGATTGGAGAGAAAGAGATTTCAAGAGAGTACTGTAAACTGTGTAGCACATTTGTGGCTCCCAGCCCCAGGCTGCCAGTGTGATCACATTGCTTTCAGTGTAGGGAAGAGCAAACAGCTTATTGTCTTGCAACCCCTTCCTCTCTGATATCTCTGTTTTGCAAAGGGGAATAAAAGAAAAAAAAATACAGGTCACATACAGGACAGCACATACTGCCTGTAATGCCAATATTGTGACAAGGATACTATGAAGGTTGTTATGGTTGTAAATTAGTCATACAATTATTATTTTTTAATTGGTATTTTATTTTCATGGTAACAGCGAAGGTCACTGATTGAGTGGTCAATAAGCAACGACTATCTGTATAATTCCTGGGCATTCCTTGTTTCTAGTTTGAAGGTTTTCTTACACACCTGATTTACAAGCTTACACAATGTAAAGCAACAGAACCTTCTATGTAAACATTTAACCCAGTCTAATCCATGGTTTTTTGCTGGTATTATTATCACAACCAGATCTGGTTCTAATTTGACCTGAGAAGGAGTTCCTGAACACTTAGCCAAAGCATTTATTGTACCAGTCACCTCAGTGCACGTACACGTTTATACAGAGAAAGAAAGAAAAAATACCCATGGCAGTTACACAGATGCTACGAAGTCAGGGCATAGAGGGAGTTGTGATCTGGAGCACAAAGGGCAGCACAGCCCCTGTGGCCTTGGGCTCTGTGCTTCCCAGGACTTTGACCCAACTTGACTATTCAGTTGGCACAGTTTACTCAACGCATCTCATATACTCGGGATTTAAGAGTCACTTTACCCCTTTTAAGTGAAGGCTGGATATATTTGGCTTACCCATTGGTTATTCAGTAAAGTGAATGTCCTGGATCTACATAGCATTCTGGACTACAAATTAGCCATATTGGGTGAGCTCACATACAGTAGCAGGTTTGAAACTACAATTAGCTAGAGCAGGATGCAGCCTTGCACACAAGCAAAACCGCTCTGCTGCGTGGTGTCTCGGTGCCAGCATTTGTCTGGAGGGCAGCTGTGTGCTCCAGCGAGAGCTGCCATTTAAGTTTTCCACAGGGCCCCATAACCAGGCTCCATCATGGGGAATAAAATGGCCTCTCTCAAGTACCTGACAATAATTCAGGCAAGTAAGCAAAGCGGTCCCTGGAGCCAGGAAGGAACCACCTGCCTTAGAATGCAGCTGCCACTTCTGAGAGAGAGAGAGAGAGAAAGGGAGGAAGAGAGAAGGAATATGTGGAATAATTCATTGTCCTCCTGCCTCTCGTTCAAAAGTCATATTGGGGCAATGTTTTTATTGGGCCCAACGCAAAGGTCGCTAAATCCACGCAGGCTTTGGAAATCTCCCGATCTTTCTGGAAAAAAGGTTACACGCAGTTGATCGGGAGAAAGGGGAAAAAAAGCGATTGGCTGGTTTAGGGTTTAAGCCAGCAAGGCTTCTCCAGCTTGAGGAATGTGGGCGGAGG